TGATGGAGGGGTCCCGAGACCGTACGGCGTACATTGGAGAAACACTGGCACAATATATCAAAGTATTGCACTCGTTTCTTCTCAAACCTACAACGTATTGTAGGATAAAAAAATAGGTGCACGGTAGAATGACTGCACCCTATTTTCAGTTTGAATAATATATGTTGTTGGGGGAAGTTGGCAATGAACGTTGGCCCTGATGTGAAAAGATCAAATCCACAGAGCACTTATACGATATGAGAATTAGCGCCATTTCTGTTGGCGGTGGGCGGACCACTGGTGCTATGTACGCATAATGTATACGACTGGCACTTGGATGACATATAGCTAGGGGTTGACCTCGCCTGGATGCAAGACCAGGGCTTACGCAGGCCAGCTCCTCAGCTCCAGGGCCAACATGCTGCCAAGAAAAAAATCCACAGACACCCTTCATTAGCCTGACAACAGTCTGGTATTCAGATTAGGATTTACCACTGGAAATGACGCACTGTTACATGTAGATGTAAGAAGACAGGGGTAGTTGACTTAAAGGTTTTTCAATTCAAGTTCAATTTGATAAAAGACGTACATTCTGATAGAATCCACACCTAGCAAATTAAGCGGAGGAGATTATGGTGGAAGAGGAAATGATAGTTATTGCCCCTATTGGGAGATTCAATAAACATACCCCCCCCCGTTCTATGATTACTTACCACGTACCACACCATGTCATTGATATCGCTTGGAAGATTCGTGTTTAATTGCAATCGTACGATCATTTTAATTTCCTCATGACGTTTCTCGCAAATGTATCCCAAAGATTGTAGTTACAGATTAGAAGTGGATGGACGTTTTTAGGCTGGATGGGGGCGGAATAAAATTGCTTATTAATTAATTAATTTCCGTACTTTAATGTTAGAAATGGTGTCAGAAGACAGAGTTCAATGACATCCTCTTATCTTATCTGAGCACACTTAGGTTTTGGTCATAGATGATATGTATCTTTTGGGTTGCATGGAATTGACTGAATTGGAAGGAGAGTGCTGTGGAGAAAGTTCAGTGACGACATTCTTTTACTCATATTATTTGCTCAGATTCAGTGAATTTTTTGGTCTGGTAGAATCTAACCAAGATAGGCACTCAAAGCATAGTCTATCACTGATAACGTTCGTCGTAAGTCGTAGGTCGTCGTACGATTTAATGTAATTTTTCAAGCAGGCTGTAACAGAATCAACCGCCGACAAGGATCCAAGACGCTTTTCCGCAAGCGGCTGAATTTTGTAGGACATATACCTGCCAACTTCCAGTTGGCGATGGTACTGCGATCGCACCATGAACGGGCTATATCTTATCTAGTTACATGGTGTGTAGAGCATAAAATTGTACGTTGCGTCTCCAATGTTTCTTGTCTATATTGATTACTATAAAACGTTGACATCGTGAATCCCGCCCATTGTAACGAGTAGGGTTACTGCCTCATGTGTGGGTAGTCACAGGAATCCCTACTCATAAGCCGTTAAGAACTGCACTTATCCTTCTAATGGCAGATAGACAAACTGCCTGAAAGTATTTACTAGGCCTGTATGGATCGATAATTCTGCTTTATTGAGGCACGAGCTACAGAAAGGCTTCGCGGTTGTACAGAATTCCGCTTGATCGATGTCCAGTGTGAGAGCCACATACGGAGACCGTTCTATGGCATGTTTGTCAATAGTGTATAACGTTTTCTAAAATCAATTTCATTAAGGGCTAAAATGAGGTTCCATCAGATTTATTCAAGACTTAAAGATTATAAAAATTATTATACACGAGCCTATAATAATACAATCATTCACTGTGTATGTTCAAATCGTGAGCTCAGATATCACATGTCTCAGATGTGAGTTGACATATCCACCTGCCATCGCCTTCCATGGACGTTCTTGTTGTGTCAATCATTGCTGGGTTTGGTTCTTGATACGGCATTTTGCATCATAAAATTTGGGGATCCTTTTGGAACCTCAACGTCCAACATGGTTTACGAGTGCATGTACCTTATATTGGATGTCATCCTGTGTCGTCCTGACAGTAAACTTCACACAACACACCCGCAAATTACCATGACCTTCTCACATTGCCGTGGTCACCCGAATCACCCGTCTGCATGATGTATTATCTGTTTCCCGCCTTCTTATCGTGACTAATATGCTATTGACCATTAGACTAAATCACCATTTAAGCTGACTTTTGGTGATGGAAGTGGTAAAACCACGATAACGACCTAGACCGCTAAATCGTAATGAGATTTTCGCTTGATTTATAGAAAACAAGAGGCCCTGTGGCGGGCGTACCTGTGAGCATCTTGACTAAATCAATACAATTTAGTATTGATTCCATCTATCATGGGAAGCCTTGTTTTTCATCTTATCTCAGGCCAGTCACCTCCTTTTGTTTTCGCACCGGGCTAAATTGGCTAGCCGGCTGATCATAGCACCAACATGTTCGTCCCTGTGTATGTTGATTATTGATAAGAATAATATCTTCCATCATACAGATATGAAACGAGCTATCACATGGGCCGGTAACGGGTCCTGTATCATATTTCTAGAATACTCCCATTCTAAAAGGGTAATTTCCATAAACATTCGCACAGCAGAGGCCCCTAAAACACGACTGTGAACGCTGAACGGATCAAGCGCCTCTCTTACCGTCGGCTTTAGGAAGAGAGGGCTACACAGACGCAGAAACAACATGGGCAGCCAGCTGAAGGAAATGATGGAGCAGCTTCGGCATCTCTCAGGCGACATCTTCAACAAGACCTTACGAGTTGTAACTGTGCAGGTATGTTTTAGTCTTCCTTCAGTATTTAAGGCCGAGGTCACATTTGCCGTACGTATCGTGCGATCACAACTTGAGGGTATTTTCTGGAAAGTCGTAGATTATTGTCGGCAGATGGTCCTGTCACAGTTCCATGACAATCGTATGACGACCTACGGCGAATATGACCGCAGTGTAACCGGCGTATTGTCCAAATTCATTACACCTCGGTCAGATAGCAAACTGTGATTTACTGAATTCATGATGTACAAAATGTAATTGATGGCTTATGTAATATGGCATATACATATATGCCTTTCTAGATACACTGTGTGAAATGAATTGATTTACTACGTTTGTGTCCATATGTGTGAAGTCATGATACATGGCGTATGTTTTGAGACACGAAAGATGACATGTCCTTGACCGAAAAACAGTTCAGAGTCATAATCACATTGATTATATGGACCATTAGATTAGAAACGCCCAATTATCCAGCCGTGGTTTATTCCAGTGTAAGATGTCAAGGATGACTACAGCAAGGGCCGATTGCCACTTTTAGACCCAGGCAGAATGAGTTGCTTACATCAAGAGTTATCATCAGTTTAATCCGATCAATTTAAGGACATGTTCTCATATTTAAGTGTGATTGCTGATCACTGTGATTTCTTTGGAATCGAGTGCGTGAAATATTTTTCCAGGTTATGTGACAAAACAATTGTTATTTTTTTGTCATGCCCAGAGAGCTCCGTTCACTATGACACGTGTTGGTGCTAACAATAAAACCGAGTACTACGGCTTCTGCGTGGACATGGTGACTGAACTCTCGCGATATCTCGGCTTCAACTACGAGATGTACGATGTGCGCGGATTCGGCGTGAAGAAGAAAGGCAACTGGACCGGACAGATCCGGGAAATTCTGAATGGGGTCAGTGTATGTAGTTAACCCTCTAGACGATATAAGTTACTGTCTAACTTTGTATTATCTTCGTAAAACATGTAGTACAAAAGAAGTGGCTTCCTAAATTCATTGTATAGAGTTGTACCAACAACACAATTATTATAACGTATTAAACGCTACACATTCAGAACTTTTCCCCGTCCACCAACCAACCTAGGTTGGCTGAAGTTGGGGAGCAGTCTGGCCAGATTTTGGACACGCCTACTTTTCTATACGAATCGAACTTGAGTGAAATTTGAGTCAAATTTGACCATTGTATACGCCCGAATACAACAGACCTACCACCGTACACCAGCCAACCACTGCCGTAACTCGACGCAACCGAGCAGTAGCCCGCCTCGGGAGAGCATTAATATTTTAGCTGTGTGTGACAGCAGTTCGCCTGCTTGGCAACAAAAAGTCGTGCACTTTCAAATTCTTGCCAAACAATTAAAGGATGGACATCCACATCTACATAGAGTCAGCAACGCTTATCCCACCATCTTAAGAGTTCAGAAGATAACTGCATTTCCTAACTTGTCCATGTGACTCATTCTCTGTTTCTATTTGATTTGTCTATTTTTCTTCCCCTGGACGTCCAGTAGGCATCCGTATTGTAAGAACAGTAATTGGTTTTTGTTCTTAATTAGCTCCAGTTAACGGAGCTGAAAGTTTGAAAATTGATGGAGATGCTGTCAAACCTCGGTTCGAGCCTGATTCATAACGCAATTACGCCAGTAAGTCCAATCTCTTCCAAGCCAATCAGGCTATCGGTAAACTACCTGTAAGCCTATCTGTCGATCAGCAGAAATGCCGATGATAAATTATCTCCCTGTCACAAGCAGTTCTTTTGTCACTACGGCGACATCTCGACCTACTTTTGTGTTCAAACAAGAACTTTATTCACGACAGTTGTACAAGGTGCAATGTAAGACTACAACTTTTGAACATGGTACAAAAAAATTAGGCATAGAATAAAACGTCAAAGTAATGGTGTATTTTTAAATTTTGTTTGGAGCCCAAAGAAGTCTTTGTCTACTTCTGAGGGTCGTTTGATTAACATATAATGCAACTTTGTTTCTGATCATCTATGGTTGGCTGTTTGCTCATCGACGAAGTGAGTCGGTATACATGGATATATAGCGTCTTATGCTAACAAATTCCAATAAGAACCGTGAGGCTAACAAATTCCACGAAACGTCGCCGGGAGTGTTTCTGAAGACTGTATGTTTGTACAGAATGCTGACTTCTCTGTGGCGCCGCTGAGCGTCAGCCCTGAACGTCAGATGGTGGTGGACTTCACTACTCCCTTCATGCACTCCGGAGTCGGCATGGTAACCCAAGCGCCCGAGCTCGACCACATGGGCTACTTCGGCTTCGTCAAGCCTTTTAGAACGGAAGTGTGGTTAGCCATCATTGGTGAGTTGAACAACATGTATACGGGAGATCGTAGCCATGTGTAAAGGACATATTCATCGATAGCAAAATGAGGTTGTTTTAGGCATAGTCGCTGGCTTGTAAAGTCTGTCTTAGATCCTTGTCGATTTTTTTCTGTCACCTGTAGTTCAGTTTGGTGTCTCGCTACAAGATTCAGAGCAGGCGTGTGTTGATGCCTTTATGTCCTCTGACAGGTGCGTTCTTAGTGATCTCTGCCGCCATTTCCCTGGTGAGTCGCTGGAGGCTACGGTCAAAGGTCGGTGATCCGGGAAACGACAACGATGACAAGTTTACGCTTCAGAACAGCTTCTGGTTGGCGCTGTGGTCGGTGATGAGGAAAGGTTAGTGACATAACAACTTTTTACGGATTTTAACAGCTTCATCTACCCATATATGCACCATTAGTTAATAATATTAACATTAGCCACCAGGGACTAGCGTAATGAACCAGAACTTACGTAATTGGGGGGTTGGGGCTGGGGAAATTTATGGCTTCTTGAAAAAAAACTTAATAATGCAGGGAATGTCAATGACTCACAAGGTCGATGAAACCCAGAGGAATGTAAAACCACTTTCTTCAATATAAACGTGTCTATATAATTTTCTAGGCTCTGCGTCTCTGCATTATAAGCATTTAAGAGTCAAGGACGGCTGCATCCGAAGGGAATCTAAACTTGTTTCCTGCTGTACTGATCCAGGCGGAGAGCCGGCCCCTCGCTCCCCTCCGGTGAGAATCCTGGTAGCGTTCTGGTGGTTCTTCGCGCTGATTGTCATCACCACCTACACCGCTAACCTCACCGCCTCTCTAACGGTACTACAATCTTCTTACCTCCGTGTGCGGAGGTTTCGTTTTCGTTCTGTTTGTTTTCTTGTTATGTCCGCGTTATTTGAAGGCAGCAGAATCGTAGGGTGTGAGGGAAAATGGTGTATCCGAATAACGACAGGAAGGTCGGCCTGGAACTCATAATAGTGCCAGCAAGGAAACACAATAATGAATGACACAAGACTATTCACAACAACTCTGAATACTTCACGGGGATTTGTTACGTTCGTAAGACCTGTACCAACAGGTGCATCGACATTTCGTTAAATCAAATTACATATCGCAGGATGTCAACAGCATATCATGACAATAATTGGACCGACTGGAATCTCAACCCATATCAAAATTTCCCGATGATGAAGACAGCCTGTAAAATGGTCCATTATCGTCCCGCCTCATGAGAGGTTGCAAACTAATTTGTGAAAACATTTTATCTCGTGTGCCTGATCACACTGATTGCAGCATGAGCGAGGTAACTCCGACCTTCAAGGGGGTCATATTTATTGGATTATTCTAATCAACTGGGTGTATCGAATCAATCGACCCACTTTCCCCCATAGCCTGACATCAGTGCCATTGTCTCAAACATCATGCCAAGAATTTATCCGGAAACATGCACAACTATCCCAATTATGCCGTAACTTTGCGCTTGTACGACAATCGTACAAAGTATGTGACACATGTGACCGGGCCATTAGATATAAATATATGAAAGATCTCCTTCTTCCGCAGAGCAACACGACTGGAAAAGGCATGAGTATGTTGCAATGTGTTATTAGGACACAGTCCCCCATGTCCCCTGTGACAGGAAGTTATCACAGACACATCACATCTATACATATACAGAAACATCACATCTATAACTGATTAAATTAATAAAGCAGTCAGACTACATATACAGTGTCTGACAACAGAGTTCTAGCAGGCAGGCACGGAGTGCAGTCCTCTCCCCTTCAATACCCTACAAATATATGCGACGGCCATCAGATAAACGGCAATAAAACGTAAAATAAAAATGCAAAATGTCATCGCTATTACTAAGCTAGCGCTGATCAAGTATCCATTTGAAGGGATTATGTCAACTGACGGTACTAAACTGATAATGGCCTGGCGAGGGCCCATAATGGTCTCGTGTGTCAGGAACGACGAGCCATTAATGTTAGAGTCTCATTGACACAAAGCCATATAAGATGCGTGTGTCTTATCGTTATGGAAGGAAGCTACAGGAATTGTTGGAAATATCGAGTTTTGTTAGTGCGTGGACATTCCCCAGCCTCCAGTGGCTCATATATAGGTCATACTGCAATCCGTACATCGATCTCTCCTGTGAGGCAAAATTACCATGTCAAGAACTCAGAGATTTCAAATCTCCGGGAAATATTTAGAGTTTCTGTGAATTTCTTGGTACAACCAAAGGGATGGTCTCACGTACATCCATGGGGCCTAGCATTTACTTTGCAGGCTGAGAACGTCTAAGTGTTTATACCCCATGAACTGCGCTGGTGGAGTGCGGGTGGAGTCATTCCCTTTTAGCCTGCCAACTTCACCTTTTGGCCAATCTCCCCCAATTCTCCTCTTTCCTTTTGTAATTACCTTCGCCAAGAATTGGAGAAGGTTATGTTTTCATGGCCGTGTGTGTGTGTGTGTGTGTGTGTGTGTGTGTGTGTGTGTGTCT